AACTGATTAGATGTTGGGTGGTAAAAAAAAAAAAAAACTCAAAACTCAAAACGGAAACACATTTTTTGTGTTTTCATTTTGTGGCCAAATTTATAAACTGAGACCACTAATTTATAAATCAAAAATTTTACCAAACAAGTTTTTATGTGAGTTTTTTAAATTTTTGTAAATATAAACAGAAAATTGAAAACGTAAGTGTTAACAAGCGGCACCTAAGAGTTTTATCAAATGTTTCACATATGTGAGACCGACACCCATTTGAGATATTTGGTAAAATATTTAATAATTTTCTTTGTATCCCTAGCAAATACAAAAAAAAGTTTGAAATCAATGACAAATGTTTTTTAAGAGGGCTTGGCTTTGGTCCAGTCTACCATCGGACTGGACCGTGCTGTTGGGTTCGTGGAGGCCCATCACGAGTCCCGTTTTGAAAATCTGAACCGTCAATATGTAGAACTCGTCGAGTACTATATGCTTGTAAAAAATCACGTTAATCGGATATCGATAGCTATGTGATCAAAACAATTTTTTATCAACCATTAATTTATTCACCGTCCATTTTTTTTATACAAAACGGATTTGATCACATAGCTATCGATATCCGATCAACATGATTTTTTATAGACATATAGTACTCGACGAGTTCTACACATTGAACGGTTCAGATTCTCATAACGGAACCCGTGGTGGGTCTCCACGAGCCCAACAGCATGGTCCAGTCCGATGGTGGACTAGACCAAAGCTAGACCCTTTTTACAATGGGGAAATAACTACTCGGTAAATTTTTGTAAAAATTAAATTATTTTTGAAATTCTCCTTTTTAAAAATATGAGTCACAAAAATATAGAAAGTTGGAAGAATGAAGTTTCTTTTGTCCATAATTGCAAAAAAGATTGACATGAATGAGTACTTATTTTTGAAATTCTCCTTTTTAAAATTACAAGTCACAAAAATATAGAAAGTTGAAAGAATGAAGTTTCTTTTGTCAATAATTGCAAAAAAGATTTGAGGGTCTGTCAGACAGCCTGCTTGACCATCGCAACCAGGTGAATCCTGGCTGAGAACGATCCTCTGAGACTTTAGAACCAATAATCACGCTCTAGTCAAGCAGCCATGGTTCATCCACCAAGACCAGAGTTCCTGACTCATAACAGGCCAAGGACTCAGAGGTACGATTCCTACAGAACAGATCCTGTTCAAGGAAGGTCTCGCCACTCCCTCCTTTTCCTTACACATACATCCCCTTTTTCTTATTATTTTTCAATGTGGGAGTATTCACTATGCCTCTCTTGTCAATTGTCTGATCTGTTTTTTATTTTTTATTTTTTTTTTGATTGTTTTCAGATGCAAAAAGCATATTCCTTTAGATTGATTTGGATTGGAAAAATTTTAAAAGAAAAGGATACGATTGAAAGACCCCAAATGAGAAGATAGAGTAAGAAGAATTGATCACAAGTAGAAAAAAAAAAAAAAAAATAGATATATTAATTAACCTTTCACAAACCTAACATTGACTTGGTA